GATGGACTGGAGTGGTGTGTGGATTATTGTGATGTTTTTATCAGCTGTTTGGGCTCTCATTCTGACGGCACCCATTCACTGCAGAGGAACCTTTGGTGAGCAAGTGATGTAATGCTACATTTCTCATTTCTTCTACATTTCTGTTCTTTTATGTTCCACAGAAATAAGAAAGTCATACAGTTTTGGAATGACATGAGGGTTAGTAAATGATGACAGAATATATAAAAAAACTCATTCTGACGGCACCCATTCACTGCAGAGGAACCTTTGGTGAGCAAGTGATGTAATGCTACATTTCTCATTTCTTCTACATTTCTGTTCTTTTATGTTCCACAGAAATAAGAAAGTCATACAGTTTTGGAATGACATGAGGGTTAGTAAATGATGACAGAATATATAAAAAAAAAACCTAAAGAGCTCTCAAGTAATTGCTGTATGACACATAATTCATGTAACATATGGCAGCTTATTAAACGCCTAATGCACGCTGATGAGCGCCGCTGGCCATGATTCATATGAAATAGTAGGTGTGTGTTTCTCCTTGCGCAGAGTGGAACGGATGCTACCTCATCTGTATTTTTTGTAATAATCCCTGTCTGTAGCTGACTGACTGGCAGCATCCCGCACACGCTTTGCTTGGTTAACCCTTTGATTGTTCAGGATGTGTCCTGTTAGGACACTTTCACAATCCACACGCTGTCACATTTGACTGTGATAGTTAGGTGAACAAGCCTCCATCTGCTTTCTTGTCAGTTCTGATAAATCAGTTACACTACCTTAGCTGACCTTGACAATTAACCTCAACATTTTAAACAGTTTTTATAGATTCACATGGTACTGTATGTCTTTTTTTCTATTTGTCTAAGCTAGTAAATAGTGAAGTGTTTGTCTGCAGTGCATCCTGTTGTATACACTTGGTCTCTGGTGAAAATGTCTCTAATCATTCCTGTTAGATCTCTTTAAATATAGAGAGAGGTGAGAGGTCAGATCAGGCTGGCAGCCATTCCAAACTGAACCCAGAACACAGAGGTTAAGTAGTTTAATCAAGTGTCTGCATTAGTTAGTGGTTAGAATGATGTTGGCTGAATAGGGGTCTTGTGCAACAAACTTATCTGCTGTAGATATAGAGTGATTTAGTCTTGAAATAAAAGCCACACAGAAATACTGTGATTTTTTAGGGGGGAGGCTTTGCAGTAGTTGTTCACACTATACAAAAGCCATCTAGAAAGAACTGCTTGTTGTGACATGCTTGCAGGACCTGAGATTTTGGGTTCCTTCATTTATGTAAATCATAAGCCCTGATTGTACCAAAAGGATTTTACACTGTTCTGTTTTAATTAAAGATGTAAAAAATTTTTGTGCACAACCCATTGATGTGGACAACATTTTAGTGACCGATGCCATTTTAGTCTTTGTCAGCCATGATTAATTTATTCCACAACTAAAAGTGTCCAATAATATGGAAGTTACTGAAATGAAGTTAGTATTCAGCAGGTCATGTGACCTTGGCGGCATGAAAATACAAAAATAAAATTTTTGTTTAAAAGGTTAAAAGGATCATTTAACATATTGTATTATTAACATGAATTATAATAATAATAATAATAATAATAATGTAAATCAATAATTATTAATGCCTTTGCAAGTAATCATAATGTAAATACATTTATACATTATGAAAGTAAAAGTTACTTTAATTTGTGTAAATTATAAGCCATAATTTTGCATACGAATCTTACGGTTTTGTTTTCATTAACTGTTATTCTTTATTGTTCTAATTGCTTTTAGGTTGCTGCTTTCTTTTCAGATTATTTTCTGAGCTCTCCTCCCATTTGTGGCCCCACAAGGGTCATCAGATGGTCTCCTCCCCTCTGTTCCACCCCTTCTGCCTTCCCTTCCTCCTCCTTTCTCTCATCAGCACGCTCTCATCTGTACTATATCTGACTTCATGCTCTGCCATTCTATGTTGCGATTGACAAACAAAGAAGAGATTATTTCCCTTAGAAAGAAGAACAACCAGAGGAAAGGACAATGACATCTGATTGATTGAGTGAGATGCAGATAAAGCTTAACTGGGAGAAGAGAGCGAGTTGCGGATCAGATCATGAGTGATGGGTCCATGGCAGAGAGGAGAGATGTCATGCTGATATGATGGTTCAGATGGAACACATTGTGCCTCATGCATCATTAAGCACATCAAATAGTGCACACATGCACTAATGCACACACGTGCTCAGTTGGGTGACCTAAAACATTGGAGCACTCTCCTAAAACCCTAATCTCCCTAATGTTTTGTGTCTTTAGTAGCTCAATGAATGTGTTCTCATTTAGAACCGTTCAAAACACTTGAACTGTTTCATTTTCATGACATTCAGTTCCTTTAAAGGAATATTTCAGTAAGAAAGTCACAATTTCACAATTCAAACCTGTTTGCATTTCTTTCTTCTGTTTAACACAAAAGAAGATATTTTGAAGAATGTTGATAACCAAACCAGTTTCAGTTCCCATTGACTTCCACTGTGTTGTTGGTTTTTTTTGGTCCATATAATAGAGGTCTATAGAAACCAAAACAGTTTGGTTACCAACATTCTTCAAAATGTCTTCTTTTGTTTTTCATTGTTTTCACCAAGTCATACAGGTTTGAAATGACATGAGGGTGTGTAAATGATTTTCGGGTGAACTATACTTTAAGCTTTAACAACAGTTAAAGAAATGCTGATCACCACAAAAATAATTTTGACTCGTCCCTTACTAGTTTAATTTTTTTTTTTTTACATATCGAGCTTCCCCCAATGTACTAAAAGAACCATAGTCACTTACATTGTTTTTTTTTTTAAATAATATTTTGTTAGAAAATAATCAATAAAATTATACATTTAGTTCGGTTCATGCATCAAACAAATGAAAAAGCTGATACTGAACAACTGTAATATTGTTTCACAAAATAAATATTTTTTTTGATGCTGTTGTTTTGACGTTTACTGGAAAAAATGAGATAAGCAATTGATTATAAGAATTACGTTTTTTTGCATTATATGTGCGTGTATGATTTTGTCCTGGGCTAAAGAGATTCACTGCAGATAAAAATATTTTCTTCCTCTCTGTATAGCGTTCTCTTTTTCCCTCTGTCGCCCTCGTATCAGCCCCCCCTGTGCTGCCCCATCAGTGCCTTGGAGATGTTGCCATAGCAACAGAATCAGATTTTGAACACTGAAGCTGCGAGATGAATAATGCACTGCCGGTCTCTCTGACAGTGTGTGTGGGCACTGTGTATATGTGTGCTATAGCCGCATAGAGTCGTTATTTAATATCTCTTATCTAACACTGCCAGATTCTCACAAAGATCTGTCTGTTTGTATCTTTATGTATTTGTGTCCACTGTTTAATTGAGAGTAATTTTTTCTTGGTTTATAGATATTGCCTTGGCTCAGTAATTGAGCCATCAAGCCAGAATCAATTCTATTTAAAGCAGCCAGGACTCATAAAAAGTAATGGCTTATTTTCCACAACAATGACATTTACCTGAGTTGATCTTATTAAGGTTGAAAGTCTGAGGTGGTTTGTCCCGACTCTTCACATGTATGTTTGAAAGTGACCCATATAAGTCATCGGTTCAAGCTAACTGCTCTGAATGAACCCACATGGACCTGCATATTTAAACAAAATAAATAACACAAATATCATGAAATTCTGTACTGAAATTCAGGTACCATTGTATTTATGTGATACTTTAAGATACTTAAAAATATGGTACTTGAATAAAATAATATGGTAGTACCTTAGTAACTTTTGGTGCTTAGTTTGTTTTAGTTTTTTTAGTTAACTCTGCTTAATTATTCAGTTAGATCGCATTATCATCTTAAACCAACATTGTAGCACTTGTGAATCAAACATTTTCATACTCATACTTTTACAACCAGTTTTCTATACAGTTACTATTATTCTCCAAACAGAACGGTTAGCATGTGCCCACTCGCACAATTTAACAGATACACACACAAGCGGACGATTGTGGTCAGTGCTGTTAACGTGAGGGTTTCTGGGTAACAGTGGGAAAGCCTCAGTGAGCCACGTGACTCCTGACCTTAACAAAGAATGACAGCTTGACCTCTCTCTCGATATCTCACTGCCTCACACACTCTTAAGCTAGCTCTCCCGCCTAAATCCTCTTGTGTTTGAGTGACAGAGACAAAGAGTAACACATACAGGAAAATGTGCACACGGCATCAGATAAAAATGCTCACGCGCACACACTAAAACTGACTATATCTCTATTTGAATATATTTTAAAATGTAATTTATTCCTGTGATGGCAAAGCTGAATTTTCAGCATCTTCTTACTCCAGACTTCAGTGTCACATGACCCTTCAGAAATCATTCTAATATGCTGATTTGCTGCACAAGAAACATTTCTTCTTATTAATGGTGATTGTGGTGCTTAATATTATTTGAAATCTATTTTCAATTATTTGACATTTAAAAAGTGATACATTTTTTTAAGACCCTTTTGTAAATAGATCAAAAGAACAGCATTTTTTAAGAGTATTTACATTATATTGTAGCAACGTAAAAGTCTTTACTGTCACCTTTGATCAATTGAATGTGTGCTGGCTGGATAAAAGTATTGATTTCTTAAAAAAAAAAAGAAGAATTATAGAAGTTCTTGCAAAGAAAGTGAACGTATATGCACACAAACACATGAACACATGAAGAATAAAATGCAGAGCAGTCAATTCACACGTATGATTTTGATTTATTACACAAAGCATTAATTGCAAGCTAGTAATTTTAGGGAAAACACACAGTTCTGTGTTTTAATGTCTTTGTGAAAGCAAAAAACAACAATGTTGGTTCAGCCAAGTTTCAGGGTCATCAAGTGATTTTTGTTCTCTGCATTTCAGAATAAAGGCATTGTTTGTGTGAGTGTTGAATTACAGCCTATATAAAAGAGTCTGCCACATTCACGTGAGCTAATTCCTATTTTGATCACTTTCCCACAGTGCTGGCATTGCAGTCGGTTTCTATGGAAACGGCGAAACGTGCGATGGCATGACACGACTGACATATTCCTTGCGCCATGCTAACCAAACAGTGGCAGGCATCGACAAACTGGTGAGTCATTGGAGTTTTTGTTACATTTTGCCTTATCCAGGTATTCAAAACACACTTAACTGCCCTTCTGTGGTCAGTCCTAAATCCTTGGCTCCTTGGCTCAGTAATTGAGCCATCAAGCCAGAATCGATTCTATTTAAAGCAGCCAGGACTCATAAAAAGTATTTTCCACAATTCCACAACAATGACATTTACCTGAGTTGATCTTATTAAGGTTGAAAGTCTGAGGTGGTTTGTCCCGACTCTTCACATGTATGTTTGAAAGTGACCCATATAAGTCATCGGTTCAAGCTAACTGCTCTGAATGAACCCACATGGACCTGCATATTTAAACAAAATAAATAACACAAATATCATGAAATTCTGTACTGAAATTCAGGTACCATTGTATTTATGTGATACTTTAAGATACTTAAAAATATGGTACTTGAATAAAATAATATGGTAGTACCTTAGTAACTTTTGGTGCTTAGTTTGTTTTAGTTTTTTTAGTTAACTCTGCTTAATTATTCAGTTAGATCGCATTATCATCTTAAACCAACATTGTAGCACTTGTGAATCAAACATTTTCATACTCATACTTTTACAACCAGTTTTCTATACAGTTACTATTATTCTCCAAACAGAACGGTTAGCATGTGCCCACTCGCACAATTTAACAGATACACACACAAGCGGATGATTGTGGTCAGTGCTGTTAACGTGAGGGTTTCTGGGTAACAGTGGGAAAGCCTCAGTGAGCCACGTGACTCCTGACCTTAACAAAGAATGACAGCTTGACCTCTCTCTCGATATCTCACTGCCTCACACACTCTTAAGCTAGCTCTCCCGCCTAAATCCTCTTGTGTTTGAGTGACAGAGACAAAGAGTAACACATACAGGAAAATGTGCACACGGCATCAGATAAAAATGCTCACGCGCACACACTAAAACTGACTATATCTCTATTTGAATATATTTTAAAATGTAATTTATTCCTGTGATGGCAAAGCTGAATTTTCAGCATCTTCTTACTCCAGACTTCAGTGTCACATGACCCTTCAGAAATCATTCTAATATGCTGATTTGCTGCTCAAGAAACATTTCTTCTTATTATTAATGGTGATTGTGGTGCTTAATATTATTTGAAATCTATTTTCAATTATTTGACATTTAAAAAGTGATACATTTTTTTAAGACCCTTTTGTAAATAGATCAAAAGAACAGCATTTTTTAAGAGTATTTACATTATATTGTAGCAACGTAAAAGTCTTTACTGTCACCTTTGATCAATTGAATGTGTGCTGGCTGGATAAAAGTATTGATTTCTTAAAAAAAAAAAGAAGAATTATAGAAGTTCTTGCAAAGAAAGTGAACGTATATGCACACAAACACATGAACACATGAAGAATAAAATGCAGAGCAGTCAATTCACACGTATGATTTTGATTTATTACACAAAGCATTAATTGCAAGCTAGTAATTTTAGGGAAAACACACAGTTCTGTGTTTTAATGTCTTTGTGAAAGCAAAAAACAACAATGTTGGTTCAGCCAAGTTTCAGGGTCATCAAGTGATTTTTGTTCTCTGCATTTCAGAATAAAGACATTGTTTGTGTGAGTGTTGAATTACAGCCTATATAAAAGAGTCTGCCACATTCACGTGAGCTAATTCCTATTTTGATCACTTTCCCACAGTGCTGGCATTGCAGTCGGTTTCTATGGAAACGGCGAAACGTGCGATGGCATGACACGACTGACATATTCCTTGCGCCATGCTAACCAAACAGTGGCAGGCATCGACAAACTGGTGAGTCATTGGAGTTTTTGTTACATTTTGCCTTATCCAGGTATTCAAAACACACTTAACTGCCCTTCTGTGGTCAGTCCTAAATGCATTACCACACTTTTTATGCACTCTACCATCTCTGCTAGCTATTTTACAGCCCTAACTAATAGGGTGTCATGGCATATACCAATACTAAAGTACTGTGGTACAGAAAATTTACCACCCTCTTTTCTGAACTCCCCACTGCTGTTGCTAGAGTTCATTGCCCTTTGCTAAACACTTTAACTTGAATAAACACTCTACTTCTGTTGCCAAATACTCTATTGCACCTCATGGCCATAGCTAAAACCCCCAGGATGCAGGGTTATTAAAAGTTCATGTATTCAGAAGGTTGAGGGTGTTATTGTTTTGGTTGGCTGGCCAGGACTTCTTGTAGGAAGCAATTATGTGTATCCAAATATCCATTAGCAGGTGTTCTGACTGTTAGAGAGCCATGAGCGGTCATGGAGTCCTAATATTCATATATAAAACCAAAAATAAAGTTAATCTAATAATCAATTCATTAATCGAATTGTATTTGTTGTGTATAAGCATTTAAATTGCATAGCATTGAAATGTCACTGTTTCAGTGCCTTCCAAAACTTTTGAGCAAAAAGTTAACCCCTTTACAAAAGCACCCATCAGAAGGCCATCTATTGTTCTTGTCGTCTTCATTAGTTGTTGTTCTGTCACTTTAGTTTCTTTTACAACTGTCTTACATTTTTTAATCAATATTGAAATGAAAAATCTTCTATTATGTTTATTATATTTCTGTGAATTGGTTGTTAATTATTGTTTTTCATTACAGCTGTATTTCACTTTTGTTTGCCTCTTTTAAAATACATTGATCTTGCCATGAAGATAGCTATAGATGCTGGTATGGCAATAAAAAAATCAAACAATCAATCTTGATGACAACTTATGGACAGCCAATATGGTGATCTAGCAGGATTGATGATGGATGAACGATACATTTATATAATACAATATGATGAAATCAGTAGATATACACAAATTATATATATATATATATAAATATATATATATATATATATATATATATTTTTTTTTTTCTTTTTTTTTTTTTCATCCAAATATTTTACAATCACAAATAAAAAAAAAATGATGATCAGCCAATTCTCCTGAATTCTTTGACTTGGTCAATCACTAATGATGACATATATAATAATTTGCCAATTTGATTCAGGGGGCAGAAAAAAAATGGTTCTGAATTATTGAGCCTAAAATATTTCCTCATGTTTGTGTTTTAGGTATCAGAGAGCACCAGCTCTCTGAATGAAACCCTGCAGGAGGGTTTGGTGCAGCTGGAGACCGTGTACTCCAAGCATACAGACTACCTGTCCATCGTCCAGAAACTGCAGGGTCAGCTGGACGAGCTGATCAATCTCATGGTGGAGGTGCCTTTCTGGAGCAGTATGGATCTCTCTCTGGATCACCTGGCGTCCGTCACTGAGCAGTATGACTGGTACAGGTAATTATGAAGTCCAGTCAAGTCATCATGCTCTGTGATGTCTAAATTTGTCTCAGAGGTATTACCCAGATAGTGGTGGGTTCTAAAATCCTGATGGTTTTTACAAAAATGTAGTCTGGCTTGACTTGTTAGCAGATGTCACATGCTTTGACGTTTTGTTATCTAATGCAGTGACATTCAGACATTAGTATGACTTAAATGCCTAAAGACATACAAATTAGAGTTTATGGACATACACAATATAGTTTCTCAATAATAAAGTCCAGACTTGTTGCTTGGAGTTATAAAGACATTTCCAGCCACCTGGAAGAGATCATGTGTATGTGTCTTTTGTAGGTGGTTGGGTTATCTGAGTCTGCTGCTCTTTGATGTTATAATCTGCCTGCTAGTTTTGGTTGGTCTCATACGCAACTCTAGAAGCATCTTGATCAGGTAAGTTCAAAAATGATGAACACATGTTTTTAGTTAATATCACACACAATAGCCACCCATGTAATTGGTCAAAAAATGGCCCCTAAAGAACCTTTTCTCTACCTTTAGGAAACACCACATTACTTAGACTTGTGGCCAAAATATAAGACATCTTTGTTTTTTTTATCATTTTGTAAAATTTATATATATATATATAGTTGCTATCTGTGAAATGTTGTTATTGTTACCTAAAATTATTTAAAATAATTTTCATTAACTGAAATAAAGCTGAAATAAAATGTTAAATGAAAACTTGAAAAAAAAGTAAATAATAATGAAATTAAATTAGTTTAGGTATGCTAAATAGATAAATTTAAGGGGAAAAATGAATACAAATTACTAATAAAACTTGAAATACAATTATAATGAAAACTGATATGAAAAAGCTACTTCAAAGTATTGATAAACACTATAATAGAATATAAATACTAAAGTAAGACTGCTATGAAATCATTTTCTTTATGGGTGTTATTGAATTTGGCAGGGCGGTTTGAAATGTGGCATTACAATACAATATAGGGAGAATGAGAAATGACCTGGAATTGAACTCTGAACATGTATCAGGAGAACTTAATGGTTGTAATTGACTTTAACTCTCACAACAAAGAAATATTGAAGTGTAAGAAAATCTAAATAATGAATGTGAGAATGTTGATATGCAAGATCACATGAAATTGCACGGTACATCAAAAGGGACTTTCTTGTTTTCCTGGTGCATTGCAGGAGGTGCCTCAGGTTCAAATGCACTACCTGAGTTTGCAGTTTCAGGTTGGAAATCGTTGTGTGAAAATACCTATTTTTAGCCTGTAACTATGCAAAATTGAGATCCATTCTCTGAAAGCCTTTAGAAATGGAGAGAGAGCTAGAGCACGAATCAGAGAGGAGTTGGCAGAGGAGAGATGGATTCAGGCAAAACAAAATCTATTTAGTCTACAAGGGAGGGTGAAGATCTTCCCTTGATTCACTCTGACTCACTTTTTCACTCCTTCTGCTGCAATTAGACACCTCTTCTGTCGCGTGTAGTGTACATGCATGTTTGTTTGTGTTTATATTAGTGTTTGAGGGCGCATATGTATCTAGAAGCACATTTGGTCAGTGGGAGGTTGTTTGAATCACCAGAGATGTTTATTAACTGGGTTACTCACCATGAGCCTAAACATGTTTTAAAAGAAGCCAACCAGAAAATATCCATCAACAACACAGAAACATTTCGGCTTTGCTTACAGGAATAACTGTACAATAACTAGACACTCATCCGCCTAGTCTCACCATTAAACGGCAACTCAGATGACACCCATGTTAGTTCAGAAGAATTAAAATAAGCGCTTTAAAACATCTTCAAAGTGTCCAGAATGTTTTCCATTGTAAGCGCATGACTGTAAACACTGTTTTTTCAAACTGAGGGATGTGTGCAAAGTATTTTCAGTGGTTATTAATAATCTCTTTCTGTCCTTCAGCGTTTGTTTGCTAGGTGTGCTGACGCTGGTGATCAGCTGGGCTTCACTTGGGCTGGAGTTTTCTGTTGCTGTAGTGAGTAAATTAGCAGAAACACCTTTAATTCTCTTTCATTTTATATCAGTATATTTATGTTTGGTTCTATGGCTGTCTAAAGAGAGTTTTAAATAATAAACTCACTAAGTGAAGCCAAATTAACATTAAGATTAAGATTATTTTCTTCAGGAAAATATTGGCATTATATGTAATACGTATATGTTATATGTAATGTGTATAATTAAGTATTTACACATTTTTTTCAAATGTGGGGTCGATTTATTATTTATTTATTTGTTAATGTTTTTGAAAGTCTATTATGTTCACCAAGGCTGCATTTATTTGATCAAAATTCAGTAAAACAGTAATATTGCAAAAATATTATTACAGAGTAAAATAACTATTTTCTATTTTAATATATTTCAAAATGTAATTTAGTCGTGTGATGATAACGCTGAATTTTCAGCATCTTTACGCCAGTCTTTATTGTCACATGATCCTTCAGAAATCATACTAATATGCTGATTTGGCATTCAAGAAACATTTATTATTATTATTATTATTATTATTATTATCAGTGCTGAAAACGGTTGTGGTGCTTTATTTTTGTGGAAACCGTGATGCATTGCTTGCAGGATTCTGTGTAAAAGTTCAAAAGCATTTATTAGGAATATAATTTTTTACAGCTCAGCTGGATAAAAGTTTACGTTTCTTAAAAAAAAAGAAGAAATTACTGACCCCAAACTTTGGAATGATGTATGTTTGAAATGAGAATTATAGATAAAGTTTTACAAAGAAAAAGTGCAAATATATGATGTTGTTGGTGGTGTTCTCTTCCTCAGACTGCCAGTGATTTTTGTGTTGCCCCTGACTCTTACATCACCAAAGTAACACGTGAGAACGTTGATATCAAACAAGGTATGTGCTCCAAAGTCAAGTTCCGTTTATTTGTCTTTCACACAGTTTACGCAGGGTTCACTGGGCATTGAAATGCTTGTGACGAGGCTCAGATCACAAACAAATACAAGATTGTATAGACAGATATATTAAGTTAACAAAATTAATGTAAATATATAGTATATATTGAGAGTACAGATCAAAGAAGTAGTAAATGCTGAACTCAAATTCACACATGGTTGCCATTCATTTCAGTCTATTTATTTTCTTATTTGCATTTTATTAATTAAATGATATACTGATAAATCTGTGCATACTGATGTGTATCAAGTCTTGTGTATGCCTACAAATGCTCTCATTCATTCACTTGAAATGTCCTGGAGCATTGCTATGCAGAGGAGGCTTTCTTAAAGAGTGTTTATGTACAAAGCAGGATTTGTATCCTGCTCTCAGACCTGGGCTTTGCTGGACAGACATGAATGTCATTGCTAATTAGTTCCCGCAGGGGATACGATTCATGACCCTCTCAGTCCCTACACAACACATTCACAATCAACACTCATTCACACTTGCATACACACTTATGCTTTACTGCTGGAAGCATTTGTGTTTCTCTGTATTGAAGGTAAGGCACTGGGAGGTGTGTCTGCAGGCCAGTAAATCTTTCAAATAATTTAACATCTGTGTATTTACTTCCTCCTACATATTAATTTTATGTAATTGCCACTTAATATACTACCATTCAACATTTTGGGGTCAGGAAGATTTTTAGAAAAATAAATTAATTTTATTTAGCAAGTATGCCTTATCTTACAGACCCCAATCTTCTGAATGGTTATGCATTGTAATAGTAGCAATTGATAAATACACAAAATGAATGAAAATTGGTTTACACAATATTTATTCAAATTCACTCAAACTTATTTTAAAGGAAAATTCTTTCATCTTATCCATCTGCACCCACTATGAGTGTGATGATTTAGGCTGAGTTTAATTAATCATTAAACCGCTGCCCGAGGTCATTCTACTGCTGCTTCTCTCAGTCTCGCTCTCTTGTCTTTTTTTCAAGCACATGAATCCATAGTAATTGGGTTCAGATTCGTGCAGCGTCTTTACAGTCATCTCTCTCTTACATACGCTCATACTCGCACATACACACAGAAAAGTGTTGATATCTTAACAAATGAAGCTAGTTGGCAGTTGGCAGTAATCTCAGCCAGGTCACAGTGACTCATGAGAGGCAGAGGCATGCAGCACTTTCAACAGATTTACTGCTACGTTTTGTTAGTTTGCATCGGCTGTTTTCTTTGCAGAGTGATTTCAACAATATTTCAACATCTGAGCAAGAATGATCTGTTTGTTGACCAACAGAAGATGAAGGCAGTGTTTGGGAAACCTACCATTATGTGATGTCACACATTTGAACATAGTTATTGGAATTCATATGTATTTGTTATTATCTATGTTATATGTGTGTTAGATATCCTGCAGTATTATCTGAAGTGCAGCATGGGACAGACCAACCCATTTCAGCAGGTACATAATTACTCTTTCTTTGTTCTCTTTCTCATTGTCACTCTTGTTTTCTTTCATGAATTATAAATCGGTCCTCTGATTTGCAGAAACTCTCCGGAAGCCATAAAGCTCTTGTGGAGATGCAGGATGATGTTTCCGAGCTCTTGCGCTCTGCTATCCGAGAATTCCCTAAGACAAAGGTGTGAGATTGCAGATGCCTTTGAGAGTGGGAGTGAGCGTTGCTGTACTCAGTATGTGGATGTTTATCAGTTTATGTGCTTTGTCTCTTTATGGGTTGGTTATCAGAGTAACCTGGAGGAGATGCAAGCGGTGTTAAACTCCACTGAAGTCAGTCTCCATCACCTCACTGCCCTGGTCGATTGTCGGAGCCTGCACATGGTATGTGTGTTAAGATGAAAAATATACAAAAATATTTTATTACACTGCCAAGTTAATTCTGTGTAATGACAAAATGATGCATAAAAGCCATGTTAAAATATGTTGCCTCTGACCCACCTTACCCCCTGATATCTGTGTCTTACAAAAACTTTCTTAGAATTGTTCAGTGTGGTGGAAATCACAACACAATTGTGGGACAATCAGATTCACACAATAAATATTAAGATTCATTTTTAAGTTTAAAATTGAAAGTCTGGGTTTGGGACAAGGGTAAAACGATAAAATCCATACCCAAAATGCTTTTGAAGAGAAGCAAAAATACATTATGGTGAAATGCATGGTAAAAATGTATCCAAGACATGCACTACCATTCAGAAGTTTGGGGTCAGTAAGTTGGGGGTTTTATCATTTTTGAGAAATTAACTTTTACTCAACAAGGACACATTAAATTGTTCAGTAGTGACAGTAAAGAAATTTTGAATGTTACAAAATATTTCTATTTCAAATCAATTATGTTCTTTTAATTTCCATAGATTCAATTTAATTAACAATAATAATAATAATAATAAGAAAAAATGTCTTGATCACTGGAGTAATGCTGTAACTGCTGAAAATTCAGCTTTGCGGTCACAGGAATAAATAAAATTGTAAAATATAATAAAATAGAAAACAGTTATTTAAATTTGTAATAATATTTCACAATATTACTGTATTTTCCCACCCCCATGTGAGATGCCGAATCCCTGACAAAAAAAACCACCGCTTAATCCCCCCCGTCTAGCTTGTACTAATATGAACGGTGTCTAAAACTTTGTATTATGAGCACTTTCTGTGTTTGTTTGCCTCTTTATGATGAATTGCTTGTTGTATTCCTCAGTTGTAAGTCGCTTTGGAAAAAAAACGTCTGCTAAATGTAAATGTAAATATACAGTACATTTTTGATCAAATAACTACAGCCTCGGTGAGATTTCTTTCAAAAACATAAAAAATCTTACTGACCCCAAACTTTTGAATGGTAGAGTATGTAGCGAATTTAGCTCACAACAGGAAATATGAATAATTAACCATAACTAGTTATAATTAACTATTCATATTTTAGATCCGCTGTAGATATTTAGCTGACCACTCAGGGTCAACTGTCTTGTCAATTCTAAGAACGTTAATTTCCTGGTTAAGGGAAATAACTTTCTTACTGTACAATTCTACAAGCTTGTAACGTAAATCTGCATGATTAGTGACTCCAGTTATGAGCAAACAATGAACACGTCAAGTGTGATACAAGTAAGGTTTTATTAACTACATAAACACTTAAACTAGTCTAACATACTACATAAACACATAAACTGGTCTAACATACACATACACACACACACACACACACACACACA